GTCTAAAGGCTGCCATTGACCTAAGAATCAAATTCTTGAGTGTATACGGGGATTCAGCCCTGGTGGTAAGTCAAGTTAAAGGAGAGAGGGATACCAAGCATATAAACTTGATCCCTTACAAAGAGCTTGTGCTAACCTTGATCCCCTACTTCGAGGAGGTCACCTTTGAACATATCTCGAGGGAAGAAAATCAGTTGGCAGATGCTTTAACAACTATGTCACTATGTTCAAGGTCAATTGGGACAACAAAGCTCTCAGAATTACCATCAAAATATTTGACAAACCTACTCACTTTTATAAGATCGACACTGATGAGGAGAAGCCTTGGTACCATGAGATGAAAATGTACCTTGAAGCACAAGAGTATCCTGAGGGATCCTCAATCAACGACAAGAAATTCCTGCGGAGGTTCTCAGCCAAGTTCTTCCCAAGCAATGGGATTTTATATAAACGCAACCATGATTCAACTCTTCTCTGCTATGTGGACAAGAAGGAGGCAGAGAAGATCATGGAAGACATGCATGAGGGTATCTTCGGAATTCACAATAGTGGACACACTATGACCAAGAAGATTCCGAGGGCTGGTTATTATTGGTCAACTATGTAAACTGATTGTCACCACCACTCGAGGACTTGCCATAAGTGTTAGATCTATGCCGATAAGGTTCATGTACGTCCAATACCTTTAAACGTCATGAATGCTCTGTGGCTATTTGCAACGCGGGGAATTGACATGATCAGAGAAATCAAGCCCACCACCTTCAACAGATATCATTTCATCCTCGTCACCATTGACTACTTCACCAAATGGGTCGAAGTTGCTTCATTTGCCTCAGTTACTAAGAACGTTGTAGCCTGGTTTATCAAGTATAAATTTGTCTATCGATATGGCATCCCTGAAAGGATCATCGACGACAATGAAATTAACCTCAATAATTCTATGATCACTAAACTCTATACGCAGTTCAAGATCAAGCATTATAAGTCTTCTTCATACAGACCTAAGATGAATGGCGCAGTGGAAGCTTCCAACAAAAACATAAAGAAGATTGTGCAAAAGATGGTGGTGACCTATAAAGACTGGCATGAGATGCTATTGTTTTCTCTTCATGGCTACCATACTTCGGCTCGAACCTCAACTGGGGTAACCCCTTTCTCTTTAGTCTATGGCATGGAAGTTGTCCTACCTGTTGAAGTCCAGATTTCTTCCCTAAGGATTATGAAAGAATCAGACTTAGGCGGAGACAAATGGGTTCAGACTAGGTTGGATCAGTTGAATTTGATTGATGAAAAGAGACTGGCTTCTATTTTTCATGGTCAAATATATCAAAAGCGTATGATCAAGGCATTTAACAAGAAGATCAAGCATCGAGTATACCAGACTGGCGACTTGGTAATAAAGCGCATCATTTTACCACAAGCCGATCTCAGGGGCAAATGAATTCCCACTTACGAAGGGTCGTTTATTGTTAAGAAAGTATTCTCTGGAAGTGTCATGATGCTAACCACTATGGATGGTGAAGATTTCCCACATCCTGTAAACGCGGACATAGTTAAAAAATACTACGCATAAGGAACGACCCGCTAGGTTGACATACCTAGACAAAAATAAGGGCATCCTGGCGAACCAAAAAGGTTCGAGCAAAAATTAAGGATATATACAAAAGATTATACACCCGGCAAGTCGAAAACCTGAAAAGGTGGCTTAGGCAAAAAGGGTATCCTGGTGGACTGAAAACCTGAAAGGGATGTCCAGGAAAAAGTTAAGGATTAAAGCGTAAGACATCTCAACACCTAATTATTAGCAATGGCATTGAAAATATAGTAAATTTAATCGATTAATAAGATGAGAGGACCTCTTTTGCATTTGAGCAATTGTTTCCTCTTGCTTCATCCGAAAGAGTTTGATCTCTAGATTAAGTGTATTAATTCTAGCTTGTTTGACCTCATTATTTCTCTCATATGCAACTTGTAGAGCGTCCCACATAGCTTTAGCGGTTTGATAATGGGAAATGAAATAGAACTCATCAACACCAAGTGCGGATACAATGATGTTCTTTGCTTTTCAATCGTAAGACCACTTTTTCTCATCTTTCTATTCCCATAAGTTTTCCGGCTTTGATACGGTAACACCATTAACAACATATGTCATCAGTGTTGGGCCATTTAAAATAACTTCTCAAACACCTTTATCATATGAGCTAACATGAATTTGTATACAAGCTTTCCAATAATTATAATTTTCTCCCGTGAAAATTGAAGCTTTTTTATAATCCCCTTTAGGTTCGTAAGTCATTTTCTAAAAAGTGTCGAAGCCAGAATAAATCGGGCTCTTGATGCCACTTGTTAGACGACAGCAACGATATCTAGAGGGAGGGTGAATAGATACCCCTTTTAAAAATATTCAAATAAAATTTGGTTTTGAAAAAGTTTTATAAAGTACGACGCGAAAGCAAATTGTCATCTTTACGAACGTTATCGGGAAGCTCGGATATGCAAACCTTAAATCAAAATTAATATGGAATGAGAATGATAGCAAATTAATAACCTTGAATCACTTTGCAACTTATTTACCAATTAATCAATTTCACTTAGCAAGGCTATTTTCAATTATAGAATCAAAATAGCTAGTTTAGTAAATTTATCAAACACTTGGCGTGCAAGTGAATTTTCATGATTTTTCCTTTGATTATGTTGATACACAAAGCCACTTATAATCAAAGTGATTATAAGCTATATCAACACTTGAATTAAAACAAAAATCAATTAGGAAAATTCTTACAATTCAAATGATAACTCAATGCTATTTGATAAATCGATCAATGAAAATCAAAGCAAGTAAAAGCAAAAATAAAAGCGGCACAAGAAATTTGTCTTCACAGTTCCCCATTATCGTCCTCGCGTGTGGGTACGTCTGCGCCTAATTCCAATGGAATTAGGATAGTTCTTACTGTGCAAAATTGTTGATACAAGAGAAGTGTTCAAGAGCAACTCCATAAATCTTAAGCTTGTTGTTGATTCAACCCCTTCTCCTCTTTTGATCTTGAGAGAGACCAAGACACAATTGATGAGAAATGACTATCTGGATCTTGTTACTCATTTGCGTTCTTTATCTCCAAAGCTTTCGCGCACCGTCAACCTCAACTGATTGTAACACAAAACTTTGATTCAATCTGATACTCCAAGTTACTTCCTTACAAAGATTTCAAACACTCCATGGTTCCTTGCAAAGATTTAATCACTCCAAGGTTGTTCACTTTACCGAAATTACCTCTCGAACATTTTGCACAAAAACCCTCAAATCAACCAATGATCTTGAAGGATAAAACCAAGATTTTTCCTAGATGAAAACCCCTACAAAACTCCACTCAATACACAATTAGACACTAGCAGTCCTCGTCTAGATGATACCCCAACAGAACATCATTAAAACGTAACGTCAGTGTGTATGCATAGATTGGAGGAAGAAGATGAATAGAGAAATAGGCTAATTTTATGGTTTTCAACAATTTGGAATGATGTGTGAAAGAGTATTTATAGTCTTGGAAAATTTAAGGCAAAGAGGGATAAATTCTGAATAAAAGAAATTAAAAAATTGACCAAGTAAAATAGTATGTGTCGACCTAAGAATCGAATGTGTCGACACATACGTGAAATTTGAAATGAATGTGTCGATCTATAACGGTCCATGTGTTGACCAAAGAGTTACAGAGGCTACAACCTTTAATACGATAGCAAATGTGTCAACCTGAAAACTGGATGTGTCGACGTATAAAATAAAAATTTATGTAATTTCAGAAAACCTTTAGTATGTGTCGACCTGAAATGTGCATGTGTCGGCTTAAGACTTACAGAAGTTACAGGCTTTAAAAATGCATTACATGTGTCGACCTGAAACACGGATGTGTCGACACCTGCAGTAAAAAAATCATGTAGAAACTTATTTTTAATGACTTGGATCAATTTCAAAATACTCTTTAATGATTCTTAAGACCTCTAATGCAGAGGAGTGCCACAAGACATAAGGATACTATCTAATACTCAGAAGTTCAAGTTTTTCCCTGTTTTTGACAACATTCAAAACTTTTGACGACGAAGTTTGTACTCAGAGAATGTGAGAAAATATGAAGAATGATGGAGAAATAGATGTTTTATTTATAAAAAATACAATTGCATGTACGAGTCATTTCAGATGACGCCTCCTCCCAAAATTATATAACACGCGTCATCTCACATAGCTTATGTGAAGTGTATGCATCATGTGAAATGGTGCTTAAGGCCAATCTTTTAATGCATGTGTCATCTCACTTGACTACTGTATGTATACGTTTTCTAAAACATGGTTATTTGCATAATTTTTTTTCATAATTTTTTTTCGAAACATGGTTATTTGTGTTTTTTTTTTTCAATATCTAGTTTATTGAAAGAAAAAAAAAATCTAAATTTGATACTTCCTCTTTCCATCATGAAGAAAATAGAGAATTCAACAAGATTGCTTAAGTTGTTTATAAATATAAAATATCAACTCAGAACTCTTCTACAAAGAAACTTTGTTCATGAATCGAAAAATCTCATCTGTAACTAAACTTTATTTTTCTTAATGACACTAATTAGCACACATTAAATCAATTTACAGAGCACTATAATCAGAGGATTCAAAACCATTAATCACAAACAGTTAAAAAGAATAATATTCCAACCCACCATCTAAAATCTAAATAGCCTTATAATACACAACACACTTCTGAAGGGAATCTATGAAAAATCAACAGGTAGAGGTGCGGTTTCTTTCTTGTTCTTGAGGTTCTCGAGAGTCTGATCTATCAATAACAGCAGCTGCTGCATATTCCATCCCGAAATATCTGCTTGAAGTATCGGCTTCTGCACAGCACCTTGAGGCTAAAGAATGTAAAGTCTTCAATGACGATGGCGAAGTGGGAATAGTTTAAACAATCTGGGACTTGAGAAATTTTAATTCTCTGCAGGTGGCTAGAATATATTCACAATAGTAGCTCCTTATCATAAAATGCAAGAAGCTGCTTTACATGATTATGCCATGCAGCTACGTTTTGCCCATCCACCGTTACCCAGTCAACAACTGTCGATGCTGGTTGCTCCCACCACTCATCAAGCTGCAGAAGAAGTTGCAATGTAAGAATAGGAATGGAAACCTTAATTGTTGTAAACGAGCACATCAAAATCTACCAAGAGATTAAATATCAGATAAAACAATTGTGATCAAGTCAAAAGTTATAAAGCACAAACTTCATATTCGAGCTACAGACTACAAACTTCGTATTTGACACATTCTCTTTAGTCTATGAAGCACAGACTACAATTTGACACTGATAATGTCAAAAACATAAGACACCACACTGCTACATATATGATAATATTCGAGCTACATTTATCCATCTATTATTAAAATGGTTAAAAATGTTCTAATCAAAACAAATGTCTTTGATTCTTCATTGATAGTATTGTTTCAATACATGATTAATCCTTTTATAAGTGTGTGATATTTGTTAAAAAAATGTAGTGTGTTGAAACAATGAAAAATACAAATTCTTTTTTAAACATTGGCCTGAATTTTCCGACACGCATTTTGAGTGTCATACGGGTGTTGAAAATTGAATTAAAGAGTGTTGAGGGAAAGAAAAAATAATCTTTTTAGGGACATTTGTTTGACTTTTCCGACACGTATCAGACACAGCGACACGCCTACTCCTAGAGGTGTATGTGCTACATAGAACAGCAGTAACTCACCAGTCCCCTGACATATTTGCAGTCTTCCAAGCTCTGTTGAGCATTCAAAACACCAGTCCTGAGTTCAGGCAACCATTTTTCCATTACAGCTTTTTCTTGTTCTGCAGCCAAATTTAAAGAAAAATTTGTTGTCCTGCATCATTATATCAAATGTCAAAACAAAAATGAAGAAAAAGCCTCCAACAAATCATTAAGGCATGAATCTGAAAGAGATGGAAAGATACATATATTTCTCTTGGACAAGCATATATGAATTTACTAAATTAATAAACCATGAATGTGGGTTGAATTCTGGTGTTGTTTGTATTCATATCTACCTTTCCTGTTCCTGTTGAACACGGTAGGCATAATTCAACAAGGCATGACCACTTTGAACAAGATCCCGTCTAATATGAACAAGATTAATAGCCTTTAATAAATCTTCCAAAACACTGGCCTCTGAACCACGAAGTTTCAAACAAAACTCCAGCGATTCCAGTATGGATGCTAGACCAGCATCGGAACCTTCCAAGCCTGCCCGTCCATTAAGAAAATCATTTAATACACTACAATAGATTTTAACCCACATATATGCATACCTCCAATAGTATACTATACTCACCAGCAGCATACTGAAGTGCAGCCAAAACACGACATATTGATGGAATTGCCGACGGATCCCGGGCACCAGCTTTTGCTGTCAAAATAGCCGCGCTTATTTCTGCATTTGCAACTGCTTCCTGTCCAGATGAGCCACTGGACCCGATGGCCTCAAGCAGTGCCTGAACCAGAATTGATGATAAATTTAAGCTGAAGCACGTCTTAGTATATGAGATACATTATTGAAATATTCAAAGCACGTGTATCTAAAGTAATAAAAAATTTAAAATTCATTAAAAAATGTAGAACTGGATAGCACAGAAAAAAATGTTTTGTATTTGATTTCAAAGTTGGACCATGGGACAGAACAAAACAAGGGTTGAGTTAGGTCCAACCCAAATTCTAAGTTGTTCCATCTAAATAAAAAATTTCTATCAATGTGTTGATTATTGAACACTAGACACCCAATCCAAGTTGAGTTATATTTAAATGAATTCATGAATTCGAAAATTAACTACCAAACAGTAGAAATGGAAGATCCAAAAATAGACCCTGTAAAGCAACTTCATATATCAATCCCGAAAACTCAGAACATTGTTTCTATTCTAACATGAACAAGTGTCTATTATAGCATTGTAAACCTGTGGTGAAGAAGGGAGCATGTAGAGGCTATTATCTGGACTCCGATAAAATGCAGACACTTCTTTCTCAATAAGATCCTTTGCATTATTTGAAGTCTCAAAAACTGCAGAACATGCTGGAATTATAGTGCTTGAAGCATACTCCCTTGCAGTTAATGGTTGTTGACTCCAAAATGAAGCCGCATCCTGCAACATAAAAGAAAACAAAACAAAAATCAAATAATTGTTTAATAAAAAAAGAAATTGGATAAAATAATACAAGAACAATGCTTTGTTGGATCACTTGCACAATTTAAGGGAAATGAATACCATTAAGGCTTTTAGCAGGAACAACATATGTAAACTTTAAGACAAATCTATTAATGGCTAACTCAAGTACAAAACCAGTGAATGATTGTCCTACTAGGATCCAAACAGAGTACCCTTATGTACAAAAGTCATATTCCACAAATACAGAAAATAATGAAATAATGGAACCTTACCGTATTTGCTTTAAGGAGTGCCGTGTATATGGATTCAAGTTCTGATCTACGAGAATCAAACTCTTCAATCTTTTTCCACTTCTTTTTAAGAGAATCTTCGGCTTCTTTCCTCTCAGCACATAACTTGTTCAAGCGTTGTATTTCAGACATTAAGGTGTTTAAACTTGCCTTTAAACCAGCAACTTCTCTTTCCTTTGCCCAAACATCTACCTAAACACGAGTAAGAAGTATAAGTGGTAAACTCCTAACTCAAACTTTGATGCGAAAAACATTTCTAGCATTAATAATTGGATAAATTTTCTTAAGAATTGTGGTTGGGCATAACTCAAATATACAAAACCGACTTGCAAGATGGAGATTGCCCACACTTATAAATATATGTTCTGACCATATATTGACTGATGTGAAACTCTTTAAACACACATTCTCACGTCTAGGACTAGATATCAGCCCCGTGGATATAAATGGTGGGTGGCCCGACAGAGTAAATTTGATAGCAGATGGCCCAATGGATCTTAAACAAGACTCTGATACCATCTTACGAATCGGGATTGGGCCTAACTCAACCTTACAAATCCTTAACGGGAAGAAAAATAATTTAATTGGACCTATTAAAAGCAACAACTCCTTAAAGATAGATGAAGATAAATTATTTATTTCTCATGCTTTAAATGCTGACATAAAAAAATATTCATAATCTCTGGATGTTGATAGTTTAGCGATGAAAAATCTTAGATACACAAGTGTTTACAAATCTCCCTTGTTTTTTACTTAAATTTTACTAGGAATAACAAATTTTAGAATCTTCCCCCGCGACAAAATAATTAGATGTGAGGAGGTGAACCGAAGATAATTTGTCATAAAAACAATTTTGTATACTAGTATATTTTACTTTCTCAAATATCGTATAACCAAAGCAACTTAAGATAGTGTCTGAATCTAAAGAAATTTTTTTTAACAAAATGAAATTACAATCTTGAAAATGTGCCAGGCACTTAATTATATCACTCGCAAGATCATAAAATGTGTATTGATTTTAAACATTAAGTCATCATCTAAGCTTTGCCACCAAAAGAATATTCATCAAAACTTTCTGCTCAACGTTTCTCTCAATGTTGGTAACATAAATGCAGGTAATTTAACTATTAGTTAATTATTAGAAGTTTTGTAGTGATAGGAATCTCGCATAAAGGTACTATAGATTCAAAAAAATATGTATAACTTGCTTAAAAAGGGCCTAATTCACGGTAAATTTTGAATGAATAATACCTGAAGTTGCCTAAGACTTCCAATATTCTGAGATGAACGCGAAGTAACATCAGTGCCTCCATGCAGGCGTTTTATAAGTTTTTCACACAAGTCTCTTGCTTCTGCAGCACTGTTTAGTGCCTCTTCAGTAGCCAAAAACTGCTGAACATGAGCTTTCTGCGAAAAGTGATACAGCGTTGGTTCAGTAACTCAACTTAAGATGACAAAACTATACAGTCTAAGGATGAAGAAAGACCTGTCTTTCAAGAAGCTGATTTTGACTTCCTCCTGGAGGCACATCAACCCCAAGTTTTCCATTTCCATAAAGTGGATACTGTAGAGGAGAGCTACCATCAGGAGAGGAAACATCCATAACTATGTTATTTTCATATTTGTACCTGATTGAAATATGAAAGTTTGAATTATATCAATAGCATGCGTAATATACTTGTTAATGAGATTAAACTAACACAATTTCTATGCCTCTTTGATATGCTTTGCAAATTTAGCATTTTTGACAGATATTTTTTTGGGAAAGTTAATTAAGTTTTTATAGTAACAATCATTGATGATTTACAGAAGGTCCAACCTTCAAAATATATAGTCACGGAGGAACTAACAAGAGCATCAACAGAACGTAAAAAAAAAAAAACTACATATATTCTGATACCTCAAGATCTCTGCATCAGCTCTAACATCAATTTTCTCTATTTCTCTGGAAATTTGACTTTTCAAGTGAGAAGTGTATGCAGTAATTGCCTGAAGCAATAGCGGAGGACTCTTTAGGCAATTCACAATAACTGTTCTAACCTCATCCGGAATTTGCCCATCGAAATCAAACCCCAATTTCGCTGTTTCTGCCTGAGGATTTGAAAGAACGCCACTTCCTTCGTAAGCAGGAAAAGAACTCTGTATTTTTTCAACCATGTAAGCTACAAGAGATTCACAAGCCTTTCTAATATTCTTTTCCCTTGTGGTTTCAATGACAATGACATCATCTGTAGATTTACTGCTCTTAACAGTAGAATAAACAGATTCCTTCTCATTTTTTGCACTAAAACTATTTGTCATCTCAATGGAAGAATCCACATCAGATCTTTGAGCATTCTTTGCTTGACTTATATAGTAACCGAGACGTTTATGATATTCAGCAAATATTCTTGAAGCTTCATCACATTGACGGTCATAGGCCTCCAACATCACTTCCTTATGCCTGCAAAATGGCAAATAACTCATACACTTTAATTATCTCAACTATCCAATGCCAGAATCATCACAAGTTCACAATTTTTCTCATCTCTCTTTCAAACATATCATTGATACAGATGCAAAACTACGCATTCTTTCAAACATATCATTGATACAGATACAAAACCACGCATACTTTCAAACATATCATTGATACAGATACAAAACCACGCATACTTTCAAACATATCATTGATACAAATACAAAACCACGCATACTTTTATGATCAACAGTCTCAGAAGCAGATTATTATACTAACAAGCAACAACACAATATGCTTATGTCACCAGTCAACGCAATAATAACATTTACAACATAAAAACAAATCAGCTTCTAGTTTCTATAACCAAGCCCAGCAGGAATGAGTGTTCTTTCTGTCCTCACAACAAAGTTGGCATCTCTTATTCACTTTGTAGCCCTGGCTATTACGAATTGATTGTGTGTTCGTTTTCCAACACCGACATTATCCTGACCCAAGTAGTTATACTCAATCACTTCTATTTTTCGTAGTGTATGTTTGGTTTAGCTTTTGGAAGAGCCAAAAGCAATTCTAAAGACGTAGAATTGATTTTGAAATGATTTTGATTCTTCTAAAGTTAGAATTGATCATGCCTCCAAAATTGATTCTATGAAGCCAGAATTTGTAGTTTTTTATACTAAAATTTACTGCTCAACTCAATTTTGCATAACCAACCATAAATCATTTACATTCAACTCAATTTTAACCAAAATCAATTTTCAAAAATATTCACTCAAAATCAATTTTTTAACCGCAAAATCAAAATTAGGTCAAAATTAGGAACCAAAACCTGTAATTGGCGCGTTCATCAAGCATCCTCTTCCTCTCCGCCTCTTCCCTCGAAACCTCAAGCATCCTGGCTCTCAAATCCTTCCTCTGTCTCCTCACAACGTTCTTCAGCCTCTCCACCTCCTTCGCCGCCAAATCCCTCTCCATCAAAGCCGAACCCGAACCCTCCCCGGACATCATCCTCTCCTTCTTCCTCCCCGTAGAACCATCCCCATCTCCGTCACCGTGAACGGTGATATTCCGGCGAACATTCCGCACCGTCTTCTCCGACTTCGCGCGCGTGACGAGGAAATTCCAAACCGGAATCATGTTCCCGCGACAAACCTTCCGGATCGACTCAACTGACGGCGAATGGGACTTCCCGCCGCCGGAGTACTGACCGAGAGGTCGGTATCCCATTTCCTTGTGAAGCCATTCGAGAATAACCTCCGGCGACGCCGACGATGACGATGTTGATTGCATTGTTATAGTGATAGTATCGAACGAGTCTTAACTCGGTGACTCGGAACTGGGTCGAGTTCTGAACTCAGTGTTTGTTGTTGTCGTCTTTAGTTGTTGTTTGGAAAAATTGTTCAGAGGAGAGGGAACTTTGATGTTGGTGTTTTTAAGTTTTCGGAATTTTGAAATTTTTCGGTTATAAATTGTTGATTTATTCAAAAGTGATTTTCAAAAGTAAATTTTTATGGAATTTGATATTCTCACTTTGTGAACAAAACTATGAAAATAAACAAGTTCTTTCATTTCTATGAACTTTTAAACTTAAGAAATACTAATATTTTCACGACCTTATAATAAATATGGATATAACCTTTTTCCTAATCATGTATTTTCAAGAATATGATTCTTAGACTTTCTTTTGGACCGCCTAACAAGAACGGCTAATATGAAAGGCGTAATTCATAATACTATTATTTAAGATTGACGAACAAGTGAACTCTTATCACGAGATCATACACCTGTATCAAGCTACGAGATCATCTCAAGTTGTCGGATCTAATCTAACGGTCTTCTATTGTCCATGTTGCATTTCCCATAAACAGCTTCATTTGTCGATCATATAAAAACTCATTTACACATCATAATAGGAACAATTTCACTCACTCTTAATAGCTATATGGCTTCACTGATTTAGACTTAAGTGTTAACCTTGCAGGTACATTTGTCACTCCTCCTATTAGGGACTTGCACATTCGTACTATAGGACTTCTACGACAGCTTTCATTATTACATCATCAATCTTTTGTTCTATACTGAAATAGTGGCTTCGTTAGTGGAAATTGTTTTTTTATCCTCACAAAATTTCACATTGAATTCAGCATATGTTTTTTTGTTATGTCGCCGCAATTGTTTCTGCTAACTGTTCCAATCATTTTGCATCACATAATTATCAACGATGGCATTTTTCGAAATGACTCGACCAATTATTCACCAATTTCAACTTCTTTCACTTCCCAATCTCATTTTGTCTCATCAACTATCGGAGGATTATCTCACTTGAAAGAGTTGTTCTAGAAATCCACGAAGAGAAGAACCTCTGGATCAAAAGCATAGAAGGAAAAGGAAAGATCGAAGGACAAAATACCTATTCTAGGATTCCAAGATAGCGATAAGGTGGATGGTGTATCCAGTGAAGTACCTCAGTTGATGATAAAACCCGGGATAATGAATCACAGAGTATTGAGAATTCTGATTGACATGGAGAGCTTATGTGACATCATGTATGTTGATCTCTTCAAAAAGTTAAGATTTAAAATAGAAACATTATCACCTTACTGAGGTATCAATCTACAAGCCTTTAAAAACTATGCAACACATCATTGGGGTAGTATAGAGTTATTGATCTCTTTGGTAGAAGGAAGATACCCAAGTATGGTAGACGTGCAATACTTAGTGGTCCCCCTAATGTCTAAAATTTTACTTTGGTGATACCTTTCTTTGTGGCTATCGGCATTGTTGTTTTTATCGTCCGCCTAAAATATAAATGCCACAAAATTTATGACAAGTCGGTTACTATTCATGCTTACTTACTAGGACAAGACTCATCACATAGCAAACAATGCTTACTACATCACCCCAAAATTACTTAGGAAGGTCAATCTCATTGAGCATTGTCTAGCTAGAAAACATCACAATATCCAACCTGATATAAGTTTGTATTGAAAGAGTACAATCGTCAGATGTTCCACATATGAATTTAATAATTTGCTTAACCTAAGTAAGATGACTAATCTTAGGATTGGCTTGATTAATAGTACGCGCAAACACCTACAGAGAAAGTGATTTCATGACTACTGGAAGTGATATACAAAAAACTACAGATCATACTCCTATAAAGGCTTTGATCAACAACTACTCCTTGTTCGTCCTTTGATAGTTTGATATTAGTGGGAACAGGAGCGCATTTGTGTCGATCATATCCAAATTTCTTCACAATATTTTTAGAATATTTGCTTTGGGAAATAATGATGTCATCTCTCATCTATTTTACTTGAAACTCTAGAAAATAGGTAAGCTCGCCAACCATGTCCGTTTAAAACTCAGCCTGCATTTGTTTGACAAAATGATCTACCATATTGCTTGACATTCCTTTAAACATAATACATCAACATATATCTGAGTGATTAGTAGTTTTCCGTTGTCCTTCTTCACAGACAGAGTTTTGTCGATTCCCTCTCTTAGATAGCCATGTATAGTAAGAAATTTTATGGTCTCTCATACCAAGCCATGAGAGATTATTTGAGTCCATGGAGAACATTTCTTAGTTTCTAGACATGATTGGGAAAGTGAGGATCAGTAAATCCATTTTCTTGTTCAACACAGACTTATTCATTTAAGTACTCATTGAGGAATGCAATTTTCATGTGCATTTGATAAAGTTTTAACTTAATGAGAAATGGCAATCCAATGAATAGTCTGATAGATTCAAGTCAGGAAAAGGGAGAAAATCTTTCATCAAAGCCAGCCCCTTTAATTTGAGTGTATCCCTGAGCTACATGACGAGTTTTATTTTGGATAACAACCCCATTCTCATCACATTTATTCTTGTAAATCTATTTTGTACTAATTATGTTTGCAAAATCAATTCTAGGAACAAGTTCTCAAATTTCAATTCTCTCAAGTTGGACTAACTCTTCCTACATAACATTGACCCATAATTCATCATTGAGGGCTTCTTTCACATTTTAGGGTTTAACTTTTGAAAATAAAACACATGTTCAATATCATCTCTCTACAATTAACTATTTCTTTCCTTTGTGTAGGGACTCGTTCATCTAGATTTCATATAATATTTTCAAAAGGATGATTCTTCATGATCTTTGATGGGTGTTCTTTTCTTTCAAAAGTTTAATCCTCATCATTATCTGAATCTTCATCTTCTTCAGCAGACTGTGAGTTTTTCTCCACATAGTATGGTACATCTTGCGAGTCAATTTTGTTATGGGGACTAGAATATTCATTTTAGTGGGGCATCCCTTCAGATTCATCATCATTTACAATAATATTTATGGATGCTATCATTGAATTTATGCGCTTGTTACACACCTTGTATGCCTTGTTGTTAAGGGAATGTTAGAAAAAGATGCCTTCATCACTCTTTGGATCAAGCTTCCTTCTTTGTTCACGATCAGTAAGAATGTATCAAGTACTTAAAAAGACTCAAAATTATTTAACATTGGGTTTTCCCCCTTCGTAGTCCATAATGAGTAACATTGGTGTCTGGAACACGATATTCATTGCTTCTGCCCAAAAGTGGCATGGAAGATGTTTGGCATAGAACACTATTATTGCCTTTTCTTGCATGGTACAATTATTCCTTTTGACAATCCCATTTTGCTGAGGTGTGATGGGAGAAGAGAACTCATGAGAAATTCCTTTAGTAGTGCAGAACGAAGATAAGTTGGAGTTCTCAAATTATTTTTCCATGATCGCTTTAAATGTAAATGATCTTGCCAATTTCTTATCCTTTTTCATGTTGTAAGTGATGGCAAATACCTTCAAACACAAAAATGTATCGTATTTTTCATGATTAAACTCAACACAAGTGTATTTGGAGTAGTCATCAACACAAACAAAAAAATATATCTTTCCTCCAAGACTTTCAACTTGCATGGGTCCCACAAGATTCATATGGAGTAATTCAATCACACGAGTAGTGGTAAGATGTTGAATCTTTTTATGTGACATATTGGTTTGCTTCCCTACCTGACAGACACAACAAATTTTACCTTCTTCGATCTTGAGATAAGGTATGCCAATAATAGCTTTTTCAACAATAATCTTCCTCATGCTTATAAGATTCAAGTGCCCTAACTTTATGTTCCATAGGTTGGTTTCTTCAACTTTAGATATTATACAGGATTGAAACTCATTCCTATTAAAGGGTGACCATAATCAGCAGTTGTCAGTAGATCTAGACTCCTTCATGAGTTAAGTATGATGTTTGGCTGTGAGAGCATATTCTTTACAATTAAACTTAATGTTTAAATATTTATTAAAAGGTCGATTGATGTTGATAATGTTTAAGTAATACCATTAACTAATAACACACCATTAATACAAGGGAAGACCAGGATAGCCAAATTCCTTTTTCCAATCACTTTTCCTTCGGCATCATCACCAAAAGTGACATAGTTGTTGAAATAGGGTTTGATGTTCTTTATTTACACTACTACAAAAAAAGGCCTTTAACAATAGTTGGAAAATATATATAATCACGTAGGTCTAGACGTTGTTATGCAGCGTGTGGTTGTATATGTGTCACTTTTAATCACGGTCCAGTAACCGTTGTAGTAAAATGGAAAGCATGCGCCTTATAACAATGATTGTGACAAATAGTTGTTGTGATATTGTTTATGAATAAATCTCATTTGTATCATATCATAATCAGCAATATATCATTTTATTACATCAATGACACAATTCCAATAAGTACACGTTATTACATTAAACTATATGTAAGAAGCGTTAACGATGGAAACATATCTAGAGGGGGTGAAGCTTTTTCAAAGAGCGACACATAAGCTTTTTCAAAATGTCGTCTATACGAACGTTATTGGAAACTCGTATATGCAAACCGTAACAACAAATTTAATATGAAATGAAAACAACAAATTGAATTAATGAACTTGAATCACTTAACATCTTATTTAACGTTTATCACAAGTTACTAGTAAATATATTTCCAATGACAATATTTAAAAGAACTAGTTAAATCAATTTATCAAACACTTGGTGTGTAAGTGAATTTTTAGAATTTTTCCTTTGATTGTGATGATACACAAAACCACATATAATCAAAAGTGATTATAAGCTATATCAACACTTGATTTACAATCAAAAATAGTTCAGAAAATTCTTACAATTCAATTGATAACGCAATGCTATTTGATAAATTGATCTATGAAAGACAAAGCAAGTAAAAGCAAAAATAAAAGAGACACAAGGAATTTATCTTCATAGTT